TGGTGGCGTCGATGGACATAGTGTGCATATGTGTCTGAAAGAGAGAAATATATACACACAGAGATATATAGATAGAGAGAGCGAGAAGAGGATGAGTCAAAAAGAGAGCTCTCTGAAAATGGCAAGATTAGAATGTCAGCTAAGGAGAAATCGATGGAGTAAAACGTGGATCATCCTTAAAGAAATTCTTTTTGGAGACAAATTCGTAGCTAATTCAAAATTAGTTAGAATTTTTTTTTTTTTTTTTGAAAAAAAAAAAAAAAGAATTTATTTATAAACCTTATAGTCTTGATCCATTTCATAGTAGTGACTATTTTCTTTATTTTCCTTCATTAGTTCTTAACTGTAAAGAGTTCGATTGGCGTGGTGTCTACTTGAAAACTTCAATCAATTTAACTCTTATCAGAAAATTACGTGTTTTATAACTCAATTTTTACTCATAATTTCCAAAATAACTTTAAAATCAATTGCAGAGATATCACATTAACGAAAATCAAAGTAACATTATCGACCCTGAAATTAAAAGAATCGAAAGTTGGTTCATTTTTTAGCTATGGTTTAAAATTCAGAGAGGGTTGTTCTAAATCAACTATGCAAATGTAATGCTAGGTTTTCAATTGGGGGGTTTAGAGTTATGATTGATTAGATCTTGCCGAAATAAATTTGGGTGCAAAAATGTTCGAGAATTTTTCGTCTCCCTAAATAATTGGATGATGTTGTAAAGTAGAGAGAAAAATATAATAAACTTTTATGTATTTTATTGAGAACCAAAATTTTATAAATAATAATATTATTTATTATTATAATGATGGAATATCGCTGACAATTTATGTAAAATAATGAAATTGTGCAATTCAATTTTTATAAGAGAGAAGAAAGAGACATGGTCTCAAGAGAAAGAAAAATATGAGAGATAATAAGTTACCACTTCATTGATGAACCATTATCACGATGATAAATATAATTACTCAAATTTTATATTTATAGAAAAGAATAAGGGCAATAGTCATAGTAACTAGTGCTGCAGAGATACAATGGTTCTCCGCTATTTAGGCCCTGTTTGGGAGAAATTAAATTTTTCTACAGTAAATCAATTCTCATTTTCAACCACACATTCTTCAATAAAATAATATTTTCCAGCACATCAATAATTTTTTCTTCTTTTTCAGCCACACATTTTCCATCATATCACTATTCAAAATCAATTCTTCCCCCAAAAATTTCTCCCAAACAAGAATATTTACAAAACTGACAAAGTAAATTTACTAAACAATGCAGTTACCATATTTTGAAAAGCAAATATCTCACTTCTTGTAATTACTTTAGATTATAAAAATATGTTTTATTTAGATTCCTTTCAATATTCAAAATCTCATACTTGGTTCCCTAAATCAAATTCAAATTCAAATTGCAATAACCTGTGAAAGAAAAAAGACTCGCTAGCAAGAATTACTTTTTAGCTTAGAGAGATGACAGGGGCTATAGACAGGGTTTTAAACAGGATTTAAAGTCCAAAAAATGGCAAATTTGAAACTCAAATGTCATATTACAAAAAAATGCGAGGTTCACACTGTCAACAATCTTCCTCGTACACTAACGTTACACTGTGCATCCGGAGATGACGATCTTGGATTTCATAATCTTACTATAAATAACGATTTTCACGGGAAATTCTGTGAGAGCTATCTTGGAGTCACTTTGTTCTTCTGTCATCTTTTTGGGGTTCAAATGATGTTGCATTTGACGTTTTCTCATCAAGAAAGAAGGAAAGGTGTCATCCAGGCGAATGCTATTATGCAGCAAAACCTGATGGTATTTATTTCTCTGGATACTATCCTCCCAGAGCTTTAGAAAAAATATATGATTGGAAAAATGGTAGTGTTGAATGATCTAATTATCTTAATATAATGGTACTTGAGAAACGAAATGAGAAAAAGAGTAATCCATTTTGCGAGTATTAGAAACTGAAATAAAGCATCATAAGATTGTTGTTGACGATGTGTTCTTCTAGCTATTGAAGAGAACATTATCTCGTTAACATGATATTTGCATTTATTTTTCAAATGATGTCTTTGAATCATTAATCTCAAAAATTTATTTTTGATGGGTACAAAGAAACATGAAGACATCCCATCCTTTGGCACATTTTTAACAATATAAATATTATTAAAGGGAAAAATTCATAAATAAGGTGTTTAATTTACACAAATTCAAAA